GATGCGGGGCTCGATCCCAGGACCCTGGGATCATGACCTGAGCCGAAGGCAGACGCTTAACGACTGAGCCACCCAGGTGCCCCAAGATTATATCTCTTAAAATTCCCTGATACACATGCCCAACCGTGTCTGTAGGCCTTTTGCTAAATTTGCTAAATACATGAAAATTTTATTCCTTACTTGTTTATCTTTCCACAGCCTGCTACAGCTTTAGCTTTCAGTCTTCGGCTCTAAAAATAGTCTCTGCCTAGCTCCTAAAATTGTGAGAACCAAATGAGATTGTGAGAACATTTTATAGATTCTTAAAGGCCATTATATGCAAACTGCGTTACATATTAGCCCAGTATCTGATGCTTTATTTCATAATTGTATTGTTTATTGTGTATTTAACTTGTATCCTGCACCATTTGTTTTATGCATGTATTTCTCCTCTCTTCAACTTAGAAAGCAGCAGTTAGAGTAGTGTTAGTAGATTGTAGCATTTACCTGAAATCAGTTTGTAGTTGTCCTTATTTTGGTGTCTGTGGAATTACTCATTTACCCATGACATGTAAAAAATTCATACAGTTCTGAAGAGTAAACATTCTTATTTGTCTTCCACTCCCATCCCAGCCAGCTGCAGTGTGTATACCTTAGTGGTAATCTGTTAATTTGCCTGGTGTACATTCTTCCTGACTTTTTTTTTATGTTTTACAAGGTATATATTTACATGAAGCATTATCTAAAAGAAATTATACATAGATAAAACAGTATACTATGTATCATTTTCATAGCTTGGGTTCACTTAATATATCTTAAGAGAGTTTTCAGAACCTATAGATAACTTAATTTTTATATTAGTACATAATATTTGTAGTACGGATATGTGAATTCCTTTAAAAAATCTTTAATTGTGTGGTTTATGATCACTTTTTTTTTAAAAAGCTAATACCAACTGGTTTGTTCTTCAGACAAATAAGAAGACGGGAAAACCAATGATAAATCTGTATACAGACAAGGACACAGGGAAGCCAAAAGGAGAGGCAACAGTGTCATTTGATGACCCTCCTTCAGCTAAGGCAGCCATTGACTGGTTTGATGGTATATCTTATTCATACAGTTTCAATATGCAGTTTGGATAAATGTTTTCTAGTCTTGAAGTCAAAATATATTCTGGTAGACTGGTTATTTTCATGTTTACTTTTGTGGATATTTTATTAAAAATAAAGGGCAGAGTTTTTACATACCTTTAGAAATGAAGTAGATGAGCTCTCGTTTGTCCTCAATATTTCCTTATTATTCTACCTTGTGCTTGAAGCCACCCTGATGGAGATTTCGAGGGTTGGCCTGCTTAACTCTCTTTGTAAATTTAGATTAATTTCCCTTCAAATACAAAGCTAATACATATTTGGAAGAAATATTAAAACGTTTCCCCCCCGGGGTGCCTGGGTGGCTCAGTTGGTTAAGCGACTGCCTTCGGCTCGGGTCATGATCTCGGGGTCCTGGGATCGAGCCCCGCATCGGGCTCCCTGCTCGGCGGGAAGCCTGCTTCTCCCTTTCCCACTCCCCCTGCTTGTGTTCCCTCTCTCGC